TTTTTATAATCCCTTATCAGTCAAATCAGTCTGTAGTTATGACAAGGCAGTAGGGCTTCGTAATTCATGCCACGTGTTGGTGAGTGAAGAAAACAACAACACGGTCCATCGATCGCGACTGCAAATCATTTCAATTAGTAGAGCTATTGTTAACGGGTAATCACAGATATAGTGTTAATTTTACAGTAGGTAAAAATTGTGTGGCCAAAAAATATCGCCAAACCACGGACTTAGGTAATCGAATTCCGTGGCCAAACTGAACTGTGACATGACCTGGTTTGAAGTGACGATACCCAAGCCGCCATGATGAGCCCTTCTCACTGATCGTAATTATGATCAATAAAAGGTATCTAATTATGTCTTTCACCAGCGGTTACTAAACATTGAATTACTTATTAATTGATATATTTTTGTAAGCAATGTAAATGTTTTATATATATTGCTAAAATGAATTGATGTATGCCGATATGCGCACACGTGTGTGTCATGTGTGATCAGATAACACATTTTACGTAGTTTCTTTTTTGTTTTTTATATCATTTCTCATCAATAAAAAAAAAATCATAAGAATTACATTTAAAAAAAAATATTCAGAGATCGATTTTCGGAGCATGAACATCGGGTTTTTTTCAGATTTTTGGGTGCGCAAAATATTCGAGTAGAAGCTTTTTTCCCGATTTTCAGCCTCAAAAAGTACCTGCGCAAATTACACAGGTGCGCAAATTACATGGGTTTTTACGGTAGGTACCATAGGCAACTGCAGATGACCTGCATTTTCATATATATATATAATTTACAGTAAATGGGTAACGGTTCTTTACAGTAGGAAACATCGTACTCACATCTACAGTAGAGGTGGTAGAGTGGAATCAGGATACTTACATCCTCTGTTTCTGTAACAGTGTACTTCAAGCTTATTGTTGGTGTGGTCTTGCTCTTGTCATCAGTCTCCTTGACAACTGTAGCAGCTGATTCGGTTTCCTTGACAACTGAAGCAGCTGTAGTGGGCTCTTTAACAGCAGTAATAGATGTACTGGTTATATCTGGAGTCATATCTGCAAAGAAATCAATCACTTCCTTTTCTGCCTGTATCTTCTTCACTTCGATCTCCATTATATACTCAGAACCAAGTGCTGAGGTGTTCGTTTTTGGTTTGGGCTTCTTTCCAGATTTTAAGGATAGAGCAGACGATGACTTTCCCGTTTTTGACAAATTGTTTTTGAGGTTGTTTCTAGGATTATATGTTGTATCAGAACCACTACTGTCTTCATGAGTTTTATCAGTTGCTGTCCAATCAGAATCCCAGTCCACTGTGTCGACCACAGCTGACCTGTGTTCTGTCCCCCGATCATTTATCACAGGTTTGGTCCCCCGATCATTTAACACAGGTTCAGAGTCAAATTGATTAAATTCCTTATCATCTCCATCAAATTCATCCTCATTGCTCTCATCCCAGCCAGTCCAGTCCTCAGGATCAAGATCATGAGAGACCTCGTCGTCCAGACTATCACCTGAGTGGGCTATATCTCCGTCGGTGTGCGAGTCTCCCTCTGTTAACTTGGGTGTGTGTACTTCAATAACATCTTCACCACTATATGCCACAATCTCGTCACCTTCACTCAGCGCAATCTTCTCAGCCTTCACTGCAATACAAACGCTTCACCTTTAAAACACTGCACCACTCGCTGATGAGAACAGTCATATTTATATATATTGCAGTATACATGTAATTTATATGCTGTCTCTTCCAAATCTATGTAGAATAGAGGTTTCCTAAGACAAGTACAGATGACCTGTATCGCTCACCTGGATATCTAAGCAATCATGGCAAAATATTCTCCAAATGAGATCCAAGGGAATATGCCAGACCCCAATGCAATTCTTGTAGTATGTCTGTATTATATTTTTCATGCTCAGCAATTAAATGTATGGTTATGGGGTGGGGATCTCAACTGTTTCAAAACTGTGACTCAGAAACTAGGTCCCTAGGGGTGTGGTCACACCCCAGGATCAATTCTAATATCATGACTGCATTCGTCTCTTTTTGTTCAGCATTTGTATTTATAGTCTTGGGGAGGGGATCTCAATCGTTTCAAAGTCATGACCCAGTGGTTAAGTCTGCAAGGGTGGGGCAGACCCCAAGGTCATCCTGGAAGCATATGTGCATTCCTCTCTTTATACTCAGCAATTGTATACATGCATGGTTATAGAGTGGGGGTCTCAACTGTTTCCAAGCTGTGACTCAGAAACTAGGTTCCTAGGGGTTCGGTCAGACCCCAGGGTCTATTCTAATACCATGACTTCTTTTGTCACTTTATGCCAAGCATTCTTCTCTTTATACTCCACAATCGTATATATGGTTATACCGCAGGGATCTCAACCATTTCCAAGTAATAAACCTTTTTTGGCCCCGCCCCTTATCACCCTAGGGGGTCACACCCACCATTTGTACAATTTTGAATCCCTGTCTCCCATGAATGCTTCTGACCAAATATGATTGATATCGATCCATGGCATAATTCTACAGAAGAAGTCGCTTAAATCAATATAGCCCAATTGCCCCCTTTTGGCCCCCGTCCCTCAGGCCCCTGGGGGGCCAGACCCATACAAAATTGGTTCCCCTTCTCCCAAGGATGCTTCAGACCTATCACCAAATATGGAACAAATCCTTTCATTCCTACAGAAGAAGAAGGATTTTAAAGAATTTGCTATGTGTTCCCTATTGGGCCCCGCCCCTCAGGTCCCTCGGGGGCCAGACCCACGGTTTATAAAAAATTGGTTCCCCTTCAGCCAAGGATGCTTCAGACCAAATATGGAACAAATGCTTTCATTCCTTCAGAAGAAGAAGGATTTTAAATAATTTGCTATATTTCCCCTATTGAGCCCCGCCCCTCAGCCCCCAGGGGGGCCAGACCCACCATTTATACAAAATAAGTTCCCCTTCCCCTGCTCAGTCGTTTATGACTAGTAGCAATTTTAAGGAAAAGTTGACGGACGCCAGACGCCACACCATGGCATAAGCTCACATGCCCTTTGGGCAGGTGAGCTAAAAAAACATTTCAGCATCGCACAAAAAATAACTTTTTTTAACAACAAAGGCCCCATTTTATGAAATTTCCTTGGAAGGTAAGCTAGGACCATAATGGCTCAATCACATAAATTTAATTTGACATGGTGACACTTCAACAGATTGTTTCCTGGAACGAATGTTCAGGTTTGAATTCATTTCACACCACACTGCTTACAATTAAGAGTTCCAACAAATTTTCTATCAGATGTTTCACAATTTTTATAGGGAACATAATATATCAAACCTATGCAAAGTAAAGCTATACAGTATACCGTACACAGTAAAGCTATACAGTTTACCGTACACAGTAAAGCCATACAGTTTACCGTACACAGTAAAGCCATACAGTATACCGTACACAGTAAAGCTATACAGTATACCGTACACCGTAAAGCTATACAGTATACCGTACACAATAAAGCTATACAGTATACCGTACACAGCAAAGCTATACAGTATACCGTACACAGTCAAGCTATACAGTTTACCGTACACAGTAAAGCCATACAGTATACCGTACACAGTAAAGCTATACAGCTTACCGTACACAGTAAAGCTATACAGTAGACCGTACACAGTAAAGCTATACAGTATAGTACCGTACACAGTAAAGCTATACAGTATACCGTACACAGTAAAGCTATACAGTTTACCGTACACAGTAAAGCTATACAGTTTACCGTACACAGAAATACTATCTTTCTTGTCTAACTTAGTATGAGAATTATCAGGTTGATGTCTTCTGCATGAATGAGGAATAAAAACTGTCAGGGTGATTATAAGGCAAGGAATCAATTTATTATTTTATCTTATATTTGTTTAAATGAGGCTGATGTTGGTTGGGAAATTTATTTCTTATTCTTCATTTTGTGTCTAAGGAGTGAGAGTTATCAGTTTGATGTGGATGGGGGAATAATTTAAATACTCTGTCTTTCCTGTCTTCGTTTTTCCTTCTTCAGCATTGCCTCCTGCTGTCTTTGTTCTCTTGCTTTTCTTTTACTTTCAGCTTCGCTTTCTCTTGCAGCAACTGTGTAACTTTTACTGAAAGAATTATAAAAATATCTCCTAATATACTTCTAAAACACCACTGGAAAACATCCCTTTAATATCTAATCACTTCAAAATATAAGAATTACCTCCAATATTATAATATTTACAAACTTGTACCGGTAAATTACATTCCCTTTTCAAAATGTTCCCAATTACAGCATGATCTCCATACACAATGGTATACACTACCGGATTACCTCTCATCGTCATAATGTAAAACACTACTGAGTTATAGCCCGACTACGAGGATAACGAATACTACTGATTATCTCCCTTTATCATAATGTAAAACACTATACTGAGTTATACCCCGACTACTTTACGAGGATAATGAATACTACTGATTTTCTCCCTTTATTAAAATGTTATACAGTAGATTTCTCTTAATATCACTTTCCATTTGTCAGAGAAAAACGTGATATTAACAGAAACATGACATAAACAGAATACATATTTTCTGATGTTTTTCAGCCCTCAAAACCGGAAGTGAACTTAGTCAAATGCCTAAGTGATGTGGCTCTATCTTGATATATATACTGTTCTTTCGCTAGTAACATCTTTTTATAGGTTAATTTCCTCAGATATTTGCTGCAAGTGTGTAATCGAAGATAGTACACATGTTATAATTAGTTGAAAGAATACATCACACTTAGCATTAGAAAAGTTTACAGATGTTAGACTGTCCTAGTTCCCCCAACCACAGGTGAATATCATGTTAACAAGTATGTAAGTCAACCTATTGTTTAACAGTCAGCCAGGCGTAACCTATTGTTTGACAGTCAGCCATGGCCAGGTGTAAAAAATACTCTGTTAGGCCGAGGCATTGTTTACATAATGCGTCCGGGGTGTGACAGAAGGTCCCCAGGGCATTTATCATGAAATATCACCACCATTTACCTGTATTTTTTTTGTGACAGTGGCCAAAATAAAGTGATATTAAGAGAAATCGACATAAAATCAGGTGATAATAAAAGAATTGAATTGCATAGATTATACAGCAGGAAAAACGGTGCATCAAAAAAACATGATAATAACCGAAAAGTGACATTAACAGACGTGATATTAGGTGAAATGTACTGTATCACTTTCTTATAACAATGTAGATAATGTCTAAATGTTGTACTGTGTTACTCAGTAAAGTTGAGAACCGTTCCTTGAAAGTGGTGAAAGTAGAAAACATACTAGTACTGTACTGGACCAAATTAAGCTGAAAGAATATATCAATTTAATATATCCTTCATGACTTAAAAAAAAAATTGGCAATTGCCTCCCTTTTGTACATATTTTCAAATCATGAAAACAGAAAATCAATTTATCTTACACTACCAAAACATTTTTTTTCTGTTGTTTATTGATTACCGACAGATTTCACTAGAAGACAAAAATTAAATATTGACCAAGTCAATGAGATAGCAGTAGGCCAATAATGTATGTGCAGGTTTTGCTTACCCTGTCATTGTATAATGTAAATATTTACCAATGTAAAACACCTGACATTGTTACCTGAGGAAGCTAGTTACAATGTAAAACACCCGATATTGTTACATGAGGAGACTAATTACAATGTAAAACACCAGATTTTGATACCTGAGGAGGCTAATTACAATGTAAAACACCAGATTTTGATACCTGAGGAGGCTAATTACAATGTAAAACACCTGACATTGTTACCTGCGGGGGTTAATTACAATGTAAAACACCTGACATTGTTACCTGAGGAGGCTAATTACAATGTAAAACACCAGATATTGTTACCTGAGGAAGCTGATTACAATGTAAAACCACAGACATTGTTACCCGAGGAAATCAAAGCTAATTACAATGTAAAACACCAGATATTGTTACCTGACGAAGCTGATTACAATGTATAACACCTGACATTTTTACATGAGGAAGCAGATTAAGATGTGAACACCAGACTTGTTACCTGAGTCTGGCCAGATCCTTGAGGAGTGGTTTTCCCATCACATCATTGACGGAGCTGAACACGCCCTCCTTTGTGCCTGTTATGTTATCAATAGAGCTGAATACTGGATCTCCATTACTTTGCTGATGTTGTTTCTTTACAGACTACAAAGAAATAATTATGTTCTGTAAGCACACCACTGCAGGTTAAACTGTCACTAATCATGACAGTCTAGATTTCAAATTTCTGTTCTAAGCTAAATGATCAACAAGCCTCCGGCAGAGTTGGACCAATATACATCCATCCAATGCCATATACAGTCGAACCTCATTATCTCGAAGTCGACGGGGTCGTAGGAAAACTTCGAGTTATCCGAGTGTTCCAGTTAAGCGGGCTTATATATTTGGTATGAAATGTCCTGTTTGGACATGACACTAGCAGTCGTTGATTTGTACTAATAGCCAATGTTTATAATCAATTGATGGTTGATATACGTAATCAATAGGACACATACATGTATGTTATTTTATAATAAACACGCTTACAAAAAGAGAGCATTTTTTCCCCGAAAAACGTACCGTTACTTTCGTTTAATGCGATGAAAACGGTTGGACCATATTGCGAATTCGTTATGAAATATGGACGGGCCTAGTAATTAAATGTGTATTTGGCTAGTCTTGGCAAAGTCTTTCTAGGTCTAAATTTATATTTGCGATTCCGTCAAGTTTTACCTCTGAAGTGTTACATTTAACATAGAAATATCCCGCTGTCTCCGAGCTCGTACTTTACGATGCGGAAATGAAAGTGCGCAAGTCTGAAACAAATCACTGTAATGGAACGTACGCATAGTTGATTCTTTAAATGAAAACACACACAAACAGATTATATCGTACATGTAACACATTGATTCATAAAAGCCAAATGTGACACCTGACACCCCCTCAACTTGATGTAATCAACAGCAATTATCGTATTGTTCTTAAAATCTCTAGATTGACTTTCAAAGCCAAACTGGCTCCTGTAAAAACACGAACCCGTGAAGCTGTCCTATGTTGTGATTTTAACTGTGGAACTCTTTTATGCATGATCATGCTTTGTGACCAATTTTCTGGTTTGGACTGTCGTCAGTTTGGGTGTACAAATCATTAAACGAAATTGCAGTAAGTACAGAATACCGTTGATCAACATTGACGAAGTTTTGTTTTTTCTTATGAAGAACGTGGTTTTGACAGTCCGCACACTTTACAGTCTTAAGCTTTATAGTAAATTATTTTTACCGATTTCATGCTAGTCTACTCACGAAATATGTTCATATGAGTTTCTCGAGTTTTCAGGGTTCGATTTATCAGAGTTTTATTTACTAAGATAAAGAAGAGATTTGGTCGGGACCGGAGAGATACTTCGAGATAAACGGGGTCTTGGAGTTATAAGAGTTGGAGATAACGAGGTTCGACTGTACAGACTTTGTTCAACTTTTAATTAACTTAGCCTTTGTCTCAGTATGATATGAATATTGACCAAGTTTCAGAATCAGTCCTATTTGATTTAATTATTGTGCAGCAACTGCCTACCAATCAGAGCAAGGTTTGCTATCTAATTACCGGTATGGATGGTTTCTGACTGGTGTTTAAGTAGTGAGAGCTATGAGAACAAGTATACTGGTCTGTCTATCACCAAGCCTTAGTTAGAACAACATTGTACCTTTGGCATGCCTTTTTTAAAGTAGGTTTTGGCTTTTCCACCAATCACCATCTGGCGTCCGAGTAATGGTACAAGTTCAGCAAGACTTCGCAGACTGAGAGCAGCAAGATCTTCATTTGTATCTCGTAGTCCCAATAAAACCTAAAATTACACAAAATGCCAGCCAAATTAAAGATCTAGTCAGCAATGATTTCCGTCTCTTTTTGTATCAATATTTTTTCCTTTCACATTTCATCTTTATATTACCTTGTATATTGTCACATTTTCAGTTTCACAACTATAACTTATCAGATGAAATGCAAGGCCAAGTTCCCCTTGTAAGAGAGCTTATTGCACAGCAACATATACCACACTAGGCGGAGAAAGAAAGTGGGTCAGTCTGCATCATTGACAACCAAAATTGCTGCAATCGAGTTCAGACATAGATTCTTATCTAAGTTCACCACACTGATTGGTGATTAGCAACGCTACCTGTGGTAAAATGGTTTCTTCAAGGTTTTCCTTCTCAAACAGATCTATGTAGTGTGGAAAGTAGGTGAGGAGGGTCATCCGTATGTGGTAGTCATGACAATGGAACACGCGGTAAATCTCGGGGATCATGTAGGTCCTGTAGGTGGACACACTGAATAGAGGAGCAACCTCCCCTGTTTTAGGAGTCTGGCGCTTGGCATCTGAAATCAACCACAAATTCAAGTGTTACAGGAAAAAGAGTAGTGTGCTTCCATCGGGGATCAAATCTGCGACCCCAGACTTTCTAGATGTAGGCTCTACCACTTAGCTACAGGATAACTCCCTTCAGCTCGAAGCTAGAAGGAGACTGTAATCCTATGTGTAACTACATCTGCCACACAAGTTAAAATAATGTGTAACTGTATATAAACTTGTGAGCTCATCATAATCACAGTGACAACTCGATTAGATAGTTTACCTTTATAACCACATGGTGACATACACAGTACATGTAAATTGGAGCTTACTTTATTCAAAACATAACTTTATAACAACCCCAGTAGAGATCAGATTACCACAAGTGTTGCACAGTGGAATTTAACACAATCTCATTTGATTCTATCACAACTTCAATCAAAGGTTATAATTAGCTTAACAATATTGTGAAACTTGCATTTGGGACTTAAACAATTACTGTACAAGTAGAACTGATCAAACACATTGCACCAAAGGGCTTATATATAATTACCACAATCAGACTGGGTCAGTACCACAATCAGCCAGTGACTGACCACAATCAGACAGGGTCAGTACTACAATCAAACAGGGACTGACCACAATCAGACAGGGACTGACCACAATCAGACGGGGACTGACCACAATCAGACAGGGTCAGTACCAAAATCAGACAGGGACTGACCCCAATCAGACAGGGTCAGTACCTAAATCAGACAGGGACTGACCACAATCAGACGGGGACTGACCGCAATCAGACAGGGTAAGTACCACAATCAGACAGGGACAGTACCACAATCAGACAGGGTCAGAACCACAATCAGACAGTGTCAGTACCACAATCAGACAGGGTCAGTACAACAATCAAACAGGGACTGACCACAATCAGAGAGGGTCAGTACCACAATCAGACAGGGTCAGCACCACAATCAGACAGTGACTGACCACAATCAGACGGGGACTGACCGCAATCAGACAGGGTAAGTACCACAATCAGACAGGGTCAGTACCACAATCACAAAGGGACTGACCACAATCAGACAGAGACTGACCACAATCACACAAGGTCAGTACCACAATCAGACAGGGGCTGACCACAATCAGACAGGGTCAGTACCCCAATCAGACAGGGTCAGTACCACAATCAGATAGGGACTGACCACAATCAGACAGGGACTGACCAAAATCAGACAGGGGCAGTACCACAATCAAAAAGGGACTGACCACAATCAGACAGGGACTGACCACAATCAGACGGGGACTGACCGCAATCAGACAGGGTAAGTACCACAATCAGACAGGGTCAGTCCCACAATCAGACAGGGACTGACCACAATCAGACGGGGACTGACCACAATCAGACAGGGGCAGTACCACAATCAAAAAGGGACTGACCACAATCAGACAGAGACTGACCACAATCACACAAGGTCAGTACCACAATCAGACAGGGGCTGACCACAATCAGACAGGGTCAGTACCACACTCAGACAGGGTCAGTACCACAATCAGACAGGGAGTGACCACAATCAGACAGGGTCAGTACCACAATCAAAAAGGGACTGACCACAATCAGACAGAGACTGACCACAATCAGACAGGGTCAGTACCTAAATCAGACAGGGACTGACCACAATCAGACAGGGTCAGTACCACAATCAGACAGTGACTGACCACAATCAGACGGGGACTGACCACAATCAGACAGGGTCAGTACCACAATCAGACAGGG